AAATGTAATAAACTGACTAAAAAGTTTCAGCTAAACTCTTGCTGTGGTCTACATTGTTGTTTCAATCTCTATTGATATCTATTGATAAACAAAGGTCTTTGTTTCCAGACTCTGATCAGACTTGATGGCACTTTACCTAAAGCAAGAATGAGAAAAACCATAATTCATGATACCCAAACCGGTTTACGTGGGCTGTTTGTTTCTCCCTTATTCACGGCTCTGGAATCAGCCTGTGATTAACCAGAAATTATTGCACAGCACCTCTTTAGGAGCTAATAATAGTAAAATAATAATAATCATCCCTGTATTTGATATAGCACTTTTCACGACTTTGAGACGTCTCAAAGCGCTTCACAGAATATACTGTAAAGTGAATTGACTGTATGTTTGTGGGTGAAACGTGGCAGCCAATTGGGCACAGCAGTGTCCCACAAACAGTCATGGATTGACTGAACAAATTATTGTATTTTTTTCGGGGGATTATTATTAGGCGTGTGGAGTAAGGAAACTTGCCCAAGGTTTCACCCTGCCAAGAAAAGAAACCAAGTCTCTCACTTGCGAGGCGAGTGCTCTAACCACTAAGCTACAGGACTCCAATTAATGCTGGTTTACAAAAGACATACTTGCTCAGCAATGAAAATTTAACAAACAATCACTCCGAGTGATGAAACAATTCACCGGCATTACAGTCAGGGCTTTGTTTTTCTCCTTAGCTTACAATCTGTTCAAAAATACTTCAAATTTTGTGGATCTACTTTTTATTTGCACAAAATTTGGAGTGATAGTGGTTAGAGCACACGCCTTGCAAGCGAAAGTACCCAGGTTCGATTCTCGGGCAGGTTTCCTACCACAGCCCCCACCCTACACTCCTTTGCACCCATTTCCCCCTCCTCCCATTCCCCCACCATCACCCAGATGAAGCCCACCACTTGCTGCCTCGACCCCTCCCCACCCAGCTTTTGGTCACTCCACTCCCCTTCCTCTGGCCACTGGTGGCACACACAATCAACCAGTTCCTCTCCTCAGGCTCTGGACCACTCACCCTCAAAAATTCCATCAAAAAATAATAATAAATTGGTCACTCGATCCATGACTGTTTGTGGGATACTGCTGTGCACAATTGGCTGCTGCGTTTCGCCCACAGAATATACAGTCAATTCTCTTTACAGTATATTCTGTGAAGCACTTTGAGACGTCTTGAAGACATGATAAGGCGCTATATCAAATGCAAGGATTATTATTATCATTAAAACCGCTGTCATAACTCCTCTCCTTAAAAAGCATACCTTCGATCCCTCCATCCTCACAAACTTCAGAACCATCTCAAGCCTGCCCGATCTGGCCAAAGCCCTGGAACGTGTCATTGTAAACCAACTTTGCTTACACCTCTCTTCCATTCCCTACTAAAACCCCTCAGGTCTGGTTTTCACCCTGCCCACAGCGGAGACAGCGCTCATCAAAGTAACAAATAATGTCCTCTCTCTGTGACGAGGGCTCCCTCTGCTTCCTCGTCCTCCTGGATCTCTCTGTCGCATTCGACACAGCTGACCACGCCATTCACCTCCACTGCCTCTCCCCCGTCATCCACTTCAGTGGGATAGCACTTGCGTGGTTAGGGTCCTACTTAACAAACCGCAACAATACTTCTCGGCAAATGGGTTTTCCTCCCACCCCCGCCCGGTCACCTGCAGGGTACCCCAAGGCTCCATCCTTGGCCCTCTTCTCTTCCTTATCTATACGCTCCCTCTCGGTGATGTCGTCCGCAGACACAGGGTAAGCTTCCACGTGTATGCGGATGACACACAAATCTACTTCTCCTCTTCCAGCTGTGACTCGCAGTTCGCTGATGTCCTGCCAGCTTGTTTGATGGACACCAAGGCCTGGATGAGCGCAAATTTCCTGCAGCTGAATGTCGGGAAGACGGAAGCCATACTCTTTGGCTCCCATCAACATCTTCTCTCCTACAGGTTTGAACTCTTCAACATTGCTCAGACTCACCGAACCCATGCACTATTTTGGCATCAGGTTCGATCCCCAGCTTTCCTTTCTAACGCACATCCGTTCCCTGACCATGATCACTTTTTTCCACCTCCGTCACATTTTCCTCCTTCGTCCGTACATCACAACCAATGCAGCCAAAACCCGTGTTTACACCTTCGCCTCTTCCTGGCTGGACTATTCCAATGCCATCCTCGCTGGTCTCACCTGGCTCCACCGTAGGCATAATTCAATTAATCCAATTTGTGCACAGCTATCAAGAAAGATTGGGAAGGTTAGTGATTGAGAGGGGATCTGATAGAGGGAATTAAGATTATAGTGCTATTAGAAGCAAGTTGTAATTGTTTTAAGGTCCAGAGAAAACTATATTTCCCAGACTTTCTTGTTGGCAATTAAGAGGTTGAAGCAGACCTCCTCTGAGGTACTTGGCAGTTCTTTATGAATCTGTTTTGTGGATATTGCAAAATTCAGTAGGTGACATTTGTACAGACCAATAGAGTGTGCAATCGAACCTCCTTCTCTGAGAGTAAAGAATGAAGGGAGACAAGTTGCAAAGTCATACCTGCCGCCTGACACGTTTCAGGTTTATATAAATTAATAAGATAGGGTAACAGTATCAGTAAGCATAGGTTAATGCTTGTATGTGCAGTTGCATTCACATAATGCTCACATGATGCTGGCATCATATCTGGTTCCTGGTGCATAGAAACTCAAAGTACATAGCCCATCCTAAAACTAGAGCAGTAAATATTTCCATTGGTGGTGAGCAGAGAATTAGTAATGTTAAGTTGACTAACACATCAACATCATTGTTAACTTCGCACAACATTGTGGACTGAAATACAATACAAAATTACATTTATAAAGCGCCTTTCATGTCGGGAGAACATCCCAAGGTGATGGACAATTAGGGATTAGGACCCGAACGGGTGGTGGAGGGGGGAGGTGTTGCAATCAGAGAGGGTGGAGGGCAGAAAGGTTAGGAGGGTGGTGGAAGGCACGGTCAAAGAGGAGGGTGTTGAGGCATGCCTTGAAGGAGGCAATGGAAGGAGCGAGGCAAACAAAATGTAGGATAGAGTTCCAGAGGGTGGGGCAGAGAGGCTGAAGGCCTGACTGCCGATGGTGGGGCAGGACAGGCGGTGGACAAGGAGCAGACCAGAGCCTGCTGACCGAAGGCACGATTGAAGAGAAAGGTCTTCAGACGGGACTTGAAGGAGACAAGAGAGGAGGTGAGGTGGAGGGATTGCGGGATAGAGTTCCAGAGTGTGGAGGCAGAGATCCTGAACACCCGACCGCCAATAGTGGGGCAGGAAGTGTGGGGGACCTGGAGTAGGCCGGTGACCGCTGAGCGGAGGGAGCGAACAGGCTGATATGGGGTAATGAGGTCGAAGAGGTAGGGCAGAGCAAGAACATGGAGGGCCTTGAAGGTAAGAAAAAGGGTTTCATACTTGATTCTCTGAGGAATGGGAAGCCAGTGAAGCCGGGCAAGAATAGGGATGATAGGTTCCCGGAGCCTGGTGCGGGAGAGGACACAGCTTCCAGCTTGCGGAGGGAAGAGCAGGCAGTTGGCGTAGTCGAGCCGGGACCTAGTGAAAACGTGCATCAGGGTCTCGGGGGTCTGCGGTGAGAGACAGTGGTGGAGGCGGGCAATGTTGCAGAGGTATGGAAAGGCAAAACGGCTCACGGCATGAATGTGGGGTTTAAAGAATAGCTGAGGGTCAAAAAAGGATTCAGAGATTTCAGATTGGCTCAGTGAGGTGAAGAGTGCAGCCATGAATGGTGATAGTGTCAGAGGCTGAGGTGAGGCAGCGTTGCCAGGAGCCAAGCAGGAGGGCCTCTGTCTTGCCAACTTTGAACTGGAGGAATTTGGTTCTCGTCCAGGACTTGATATCAGACATCAAAGGTCCTGGAGTCGAGGGTGGAGGGAGCGAGATAGAGTTGGATGTCATCCGCATACAAAAGAGTGTTTTGGCCACAGTGAGACCCTGTGGCCTGTTTAGTTCGCCTATGTTCGAATGCCTGCAGGATTGGGATTTGAGGCAGTGGGGGTGGTTGATGTACCTGGAAAAACCCGAGCCTGTCAGGGCTCTGAAATGCAACAGCTTTTACCTTGGTTAAATGTTGTTGCATTCTGTTGACTGCCATTGCCCAAGACTTGAAAATAATAATAATACTTGCATTTGATATAGCGCTTTTCACCAACCTTATCAGCAGTGAGAGAAACCGGAGAGCTGGAATTCATGCTGGTTTGATATGTAAAGCAGTGGTGGCCAACTGTTTTGGATGGCAAACAAAATAATTTTTTTCGATTGAATATTTTCTCATTTATAATCGTATGGCTATGCTCGGTAGCTACTGGAAACAAAGCATTGATTTGGAACGAACTCGCTTAGACTGCCAATATTCAGCGGGCCACTTCCGGTGGTGTAGGGACTTTTAACAATGTCAGACTATAATGGGAAATTCCAATTAGATGCTGACATGTTACTACTCTCAAAGCCAGCAGGAATTTCAGATCTCAGAGATTTCTTAATGTATTTCTGTAGTTCATTACCTTGAAGACAGACTTGAGCAACGTGATTGTGAGCAACGGGAGAAATCTAGTTTGTGTGTCATGTTCTGACAGGTGTAAACTACATATTGCAAATGCATTTGATCTCCAGGATACCCACCCTCCCATAAAGCATCAAGCTGTTGTTTTAATGAGTCCAGTGTCCTAGCCCAACCATTCTTTCTGTTAACCCGTTTGTCATTCATTGGCTTCTAGGTAAAGAAAAACTTCCTGTTGTCTGTACTGAAACTGGACTTCTCATCTCTCAACCTGTGTCTCCTTGGTTTGCTGCCCTAACATATCAAAGTACTGTCCTGGGTTTACTTTTTAAATCTTATTTAAAATTTTAATATTCACTTCCATTTCCCCTTTTTTTGAATACCTCATAATTTATCAACAATAATCAATTTTTTGAAAAAGATTTAAAAATAAACAGAACAGAATTCCCATAAACATTTCTTAAGACATTTTATTAACAATATAGATAACATTGAGCAATGTTTTATACATATATCTCAGCAAGCCATTAAATCAGGATTCTGAATACAAAGAAAGAAATGTTTGAGGTTACATGTGAAAATATCAGTTTCCATGACAGAAGAAAAAATATTTAAAATTTTAAAAATCAGTTCATCTGAATGTCAAAATGATCAAAAACAATAGCATAACTGGTATTGATTATACACAATTAGGAGGAGAGAAAGAAACTAATATTGAGATTATACCACATATATGGGGTGCAATTCCACCTGGCTTTAAACTTGCTTTTTCTTAGCATTACAGAAAGTAAAGAATTTGGCAAATCCTTACATTGTCCTAATTTTGAAAACAATTTTCTGTGCTATACAAAAAATAAAACAAAAGTTTCAAATTCAAGGCTGGATTTAAGAATCTATCAAATTCTGCACTGAGAAAATAGTGCAAGTCTGCAGTCAGTGCAACTTCTCCCCTCATCCAGGCCCCAGTTCACGATATACTTTTCATAAGGAATTACTTCCATATACACATTCTGGAGAGAGAAAAATAATCGATGTCCACCTGAAAGAAAAGCCTGACACCAGTCAGCCAATGGTTTAAAGACCACTTGCAAGACAGTTAACTTTCATTTGCTTCATTACGAAGATGTGGTATAAATATATGTATGTATATATATCGATCTTGCCGAATATAGGCAGTTCACCCTTCATAAGTGTTTTGTATTATTTCACATCCCACCCATCTTTTATTAATATAGCAATAATTACATTTGTAAAGAAGAATTCGGTGAGAGACATGAAACGAACAACAATCAGAGTTTTAAAAAGAGGAGCCGCATTTTATTTTGTTTTAAAAAATATCTTCTGATAAAAATGTTGATCCCTGTTGGTTTCCTTCAGCCGTGTCAAGCAGTCTATGATGATTTCCATCTGATTATAGATCCCATTGCATGCACCGTATAAAGTAAAGTGGCTAAATATGCAAACACCTAAAAATAAGGAGCACAACAATGTCTTAGATAGATGTTAATAATAATCCTTGCATATAGTACAGCGCCTTTCATGTCAGGAGGACATCCCAAAGTACTTCAGAGGGTTTACTGTGCAGTGGAGTGACTGCGTATTTGTGGGCAAACTTGCTGAGGAAGTGCTAGCCAAACACCAAAAGTGTGTGGGCTTCAATTTAAAAGAACTTTCTACTATTTGGATACAAGTCCACATTCCTATTTTACAACTGAAAATATTCTTTTGAGAAAATGCACCAAATTAATCTCAAAGTTATCCATATTCTGCAAGAGAATGTTTCTTTTTGAATGTATATTTTTACTGCTGTCTATCCATCTGTTCACTTATTCTATCCAACCCTTTCTGAAATTCAGACACTTGTTCTACCTCATTTCTGGAAACTTACCGTGGCGGAAATATTGAGCTTGTAAATTTTGGGGGCAAGTGCAATTAAAAGGTGCCTTGTGTTGCTAGTCTCCAGAACTGCTGCGCTCAAATAAAAAACAGCAGCGAAGAAGTGGTAAAATACATCCTGCAACAACAAGAAATACATCATAAATGTGGAACAATGTGAACATATATCATACAGGTCACACGAGAGATTTAAATAAAGCACCCATCAACAAATTTGATCTTTCCTTTCTAGATTAAGCACACCTACCACCTGCCCAATTACAAACAACAATCAGGAAACTGGGTACAGTCTCTGCAGGAATAGTTATAAACAAATGTTACACATAGTGACATAAGGGAACTGTCCAGCCTTCAGTGGCACTGCGGAGGAAAGCAATGAGGATCCCACCCAGTGTTAGAGGAATGAAGGAATGATCTATGAGAACTGATTAGATAAGCAAGGACTCTTCAGCCCTGAAAAGCGATATGTCCAAGAGGAACTTAAATGAGGTATATAAGATTTTAAATTGGACTGAAAGAGTAAACCTGGATGGTAATCCTTTTAGATGCACTGAGACAGCAGAGCAAGAGGTCATTAGGTTCAGGGTTGCAAAGGGCAATTTCAGGACAGATAGTGGGAAGTTTTCTTTACCCAGAGGGCCAAATCTCTCCTGTGATCTCAATATTTTAATACTAAACTTCTTCCCCTCCCCCCATTTACTCTTGAACACAAGTTTGATTTCAGTTTAACAGTAGGCAGTATCAGATCTTCATGGTCAGGTGCTTATCAAGCTTTGAAAGAATTGAAAGATGAGGAGTTACCATAATGCATTCCTTGTATCAAGATTAGAGCAGTTATCAAGCAAACTGCAAGGTGTGAGACGTCAACCAAACCATAATGATGGTACCTTCTATGGTAACCAGCTTTGATATGGCACAAAGATCATTACATGTTTTCATACAAGAACCTACTACATTAAAAGCATTATTTTACATAGCAGTTATTTCACAGTATTACACTGGGGCAACATTTCAGAACACACTGAATGTGACAGATTCTATTGTTGTACAGTAAAACTCATACAAGTCGTATCAGTCAAGACTAAAACACTGAATATGACTTGTGTCTGAATTGCAGGTAAACTGTTTAAATCGTATAAAATCCAATTTAATCAATAATCTACACTGCGTAATTCAATCTAGCCGGTTAGTGCACACACAGCAGTTTGTCACTGTAGCCAGTAAGTGCACATGTGATGACGGGTCAAGACTACGTTTCCCAAGTTTCAACACAGCCGTTAAGTGTGGGAGTAATCGAGGGTAGGAGAGTGTGTTATGAGTTAGGAAACGATTAATATGAGCAGTGCAAAAGAAATTGAAATGGTTTTGATGGGAAACTGAATGGGACTCGGGTGAATTTATGATTTATAAAGATAAGAGTTATGCGACTTTCACTGTATTTTTCACCTCAAGGCCTTTTAAGAACTTGGGTCACAGAATCAAGCATTTACAACTTGCATTTATATAGCACCCCTCACGCAGTATAGCATCCCAGAGCGTTCCAATGGTGGAACGGAGGGCACGAGGGACATGCAGAAGGCAATGTAATGTGGGTAATGCAAAAATGAGATGCAATATATATTGCCAGTGGGTTGTGGGGTAAGCAGGTCGTAGAGGTAGGGAGATGCAAGGGCATGAATCGATTTGAAAACATGTGTGAGGATCTTGAAATCCAGTCTTAATTGGTCTTTGGCTGGTGCTCTGAAAGACTCACATTCTGATGTCTTCATTATGTCTAAAATGCAAGATAAGCTCAAGCCAATGGCTGAATATTAAGGACACTCGCACTACACCACATGTTGGCATATACTATGAAGACTCTTGCAGACATACTGCTGGAAAATCAGGCAGCCATTAGCTATAGATGGATAGGGGGGATTTACGTTTTCATTTCTGATTGAAATCCAGCAACCTGCATGGGTAGGTTTGTGCATGGGTGATGGCAAGGATGAGATACAATATACATATATATACACAAACACGTATAATATATATATATACACACACACACATAATATATTAGTAATAATCCTTGCATGGGTTATGAGTTACTGGAGGTTGATTGGCAGCTGTAGAAGGAAAAGGAGTCAGTGACTTCAGGAGGGGAGAGAAAAAAAAAGCAATAAAATGCTGCCATTATAGATATCATCGCTTACCACACGAAGCCATCCATTTACACTTCTCTTTTGAACTCCAGCCATGTACAATATGAACAGCAATGTGGTTATAACAAAACAGAAGACGGAAACAAACATCACCCAGCCTTCGTCATCTGGAAATACAACTTTAGAGGACGCCACAAGGATCCAGACTAAACCACCAAAAACCTGCCAACACACACAAAAAACATTCATTATAACAAGCAAATCATAATGGGTCATTTTACAAAGTTCATTCAACTTCAGAATCAACCATAACCAAACATCAGCCCCATCTCCTCACTCTGATGTCAACCTGGTTCATTTGGGAGGACTCAGAGTCAGAAGGCTGTGGGTCCAAGCCCCAGGTCATGACTTAGAACCCAGTCTTGGCTGACAATCCAGTGTGGTACTGAGGAAGCGCTATATTATTCGAAGTGCCATCCTTCAGATAAACTGAGGTCCGCTTGTTCAAGTGTTTGTTAAAGATCATATGGCAATATTCAAAAAGAGAAGGGAGTTTCTCTGGAGTCCTGGCCACTCACTTCATGACTGTTTGTGGGAAATTAGAGTGTGCAAAGTGGCCGCACTTTCATCTACAAAATACACAGGTACTACATTTTGTAATAAATCCTGTAGAGCACTTTGAGATGTTGTCCTGACATGAAAGTCACTATATGATGTGGAAGGAATATTGTGATTCGATCTCATCCTTAATTTCAATTGTGCTTTAAATTGTACTCTCAGACAAGTCTTAGCCTTAATTTCAACTAACTCTCAGAAGTGGCATTATAGCAACTCAAAACCAAACATTGCAAGAGAGGGTTCGAATTGCAGACATTCCATTTAACAGTACGTTTGCTCCATGTACAAACTCCTCCCTCCTTCAGTTCAACAGCACTGGATTCCTGTGTGGAGTTATCTGATCCTTTTCAATTGTTTCTTGAGCTCTATCTCACCTACAAATACACAGTCATTACAATTCATTGTAATTTCTATGAGGGGCTTTGAGACGTTCACCCAACATGAAAGACACTATATCAAATGCAAAGATAATTTTCTCTATGACAATCCCTGACATCTAGCGGATTCCACGTGGAAATACAAATAATGGGAAGGCATTCCTGAGATCTGTTCTATGGGATTGACAGAGACCAAAGAAACTACAGAAGCTTCAGACTATCACAGTGGCTGTAGCTTGCTTGCACATCACTTGGGTTATTAACACTTGCCCAGAGGTAAATAAGTCTTAGGCTCCTTATCAAAGGAAGTGGCAAAAGGAGTACAATATTGTATACAAAGGACAAGCAAGCAATCAGATTCAACTTGCAAGAGCATTTTTAAATGTATTATGTATCTAATAATGGTGCAGAAATACTTTTTTAAAAAAACATGCTTGTGTGTGTTTAGATACTAAATGCCTTTAAAAGGGATCTGGATCAATATTTGTAGAGAAAGGGATCGAGAATTAATGTGATGGGAGGAGCTCAGCTCAATTCCCAGGGAAAGGCCCAGAGGAACTTTACATTTATAGGATCTACAGAGATGCCATGGGGTCTAATGAAAGGGTCTTCATGAATGAGCTGTGGAGGTGATGGGCTAAATAGTGTTTACACGTTCCAGGTTTTCTTATGTTCTTAGTTAAACACTCTACTGCAATAATGCTGTTTTCATTCAGGAACTTGAATTCATTTCAATTCTTTAATTCAAACAAATAACAGTAAATTGTTGAGCGTGGAGTGAGGATAGGAAAGTGAATTGACAGAAAAGGAGGAAACTAATTCCCTCAATAGCTTTGAAAGTAAAGCCTTGGAGCAGCAGTAGACCAAGCATGTGATCTCAACAGGAGCAGAAATTTACATGTTCCAATTGGCCGCAATGAGACTGATGCAATATCCTTACTGAAAAGTGCAGACATTAAAGTGAGCAGAGGATTGGACTCAACTTCCATGGTTGTATTGCCTGTTGATTCTTTCCTTAACAATATCTTCCACTAACAAGAAGAAATCATCAGCAATACTCTAAACAAGGGAATCTCTACTGCCATTTCCGTACCATCCAGTCTGCTTCAAAGATTTTTTCCTATAGCCTTTTTTAGAACTACGCCCTTCACAAAGAATAATGTCTCAGAGTGATTTACAATGGTAGGACACGTTTTCCTTGTGTGACATTAGATTCTCCAAGGAGTGAAGAGCCTCAGAGAGCTCTGATTGATGAGACTAAGATGAATTAAATGTTGCCAAACCTCAAATCCATTGAATGTATTCAATGACAAACGTATATTGAATGCAGGTTATTGGTCTTAAGAAGTACCATATATATTTTACAGTTCCAGTATTTAATTCAACAACAATTAAAATCTTGTACAAAGTTACTACAACAACAAAACTGACTCTCAGCATCAAAGCTCGCACGTTTTATGGGCACTTGAATGTGGTGCTGGATGTCAGCTTCTACATATAGAACTTTGACGGTAAAGGAATATCAGGCAATAATGATTGCAGACAACATTGTACACAAAGAACCCATTTGTCTATCTTCCTGAGATTCACAAAAGGACTTGTAAATTCCTGCAGGTTTCCAGATATGGCACCCCTGGGGCTTGAAACTCCACCTGGCACCACTCACAGTTTCTATGTCCTCAAGGCCAGGTTGCAGTCACTGGAGTGTCCTGACATCTTGCAGGAGATCCAGGTGATAGATGTCTAGAAGCTCCATAGAGTTGGCTTCAGATGTATCTGCGTAATTGCAGGCTTTCACACTTTACAAATATGGCCTTTATATATGAGGCAAAGAAGCATGTGGTAGGCTAGATTGCGCCTAAAATCCCTTGTGTGACTTCTCCATCTCACTCTCTCTTTCGTTCTTCAATTCCCATTTTAAAATCTACCTCTTTGACCGCGCCTATAGCCACCTCTCCCTCACCCCCACTTCCTCTGCTCAGCATCAAGCCTACCATTGTAAATCACTCTGAGACATTATTCTATGTGAAGGGCATAGTTCTAAAACGGCTATGGGAAAAAAAGACAGGATACAACTAACAAAGTTGCTCACCGGGGTTATAGGCGAGGAGGGCATCAATAGTAACAGTTAACATGGGACTTAATGAGGTGCTCCCCTTTTTAGGGTTATTTTTGTTTCATTGCACAAAGTGACACCCCTATATTTAAAGGGATGTGATAGCAAATTTCCTTTCCTTCTGCTCCTGACTTGGAGGTTTGGTATCTCATACTTGGTGTGTTTGACAGATTGCTGTCCCATTTTCTAGTAACCTAATTTTTCAACAATGCAAGCTTTGACAGCGAGAATCATCGTACTGGACCCCAACCCAACGTGCTCACACACATACCCTTCAGGAGAGGATTCTAGAGAATTAATAATAATAACAATAATTCTTGCATTTGATATAGCATCTTACCAAGATGTCTTAAGCATTTCACGGGAAAATCTGTAAATTTCGCCCACAAATAATAATAATAATAATAATCCTCGCATTTGATATAGCGCTTTTCACGTCGGGAGGACGTCCCAAAGCGCTTCACAGAACACACTGTAAAGTGAATTGACTGTATATTTGTGGGCGAACGCGGCAGCCAATTGCGCACAGCAATGTCCCACAAACAGTCGTAGATTGAAAATGACCCATTTATTATTGTTTTTGTTTTGGAGGGATTATTATTAGGCTCTGTGTGGAGTAAGGAAACTTGCCCAAGGTTTCGCCCTGACCTGCCTGGAATTGAACTCAGGTCTCTCGCTTGCAAAGCGAGTGCTCTAACCACTGAGCTACAGGACTCCATGCACTCATGTACAGTATGTACAGTAAATTCAGTGTACAGTAAAATGTACAGTAAATGTACAGTAAATTCACTTTACAGTCTATTCTGTGAAGTGCTTTGAGACGTCTAGAAGACGTGAAAAGCAACAACAACAAGATTACATTTGTATAGCGCTTTTCACGTCGGGAGGACGTCCCAAGGTGCTATATCAAATGCAAGGATTATTATTAATTATTACAAAGTGGTGTTAACCGTGTTTTGGGGTTGAAGAAAAACCCTATTGATTTAACCACTCACCCTAGCCCAGAGCAATAAGGTCAATTGTAGTATCCTATTGATATATTGGCAGTAATCAGCTAACTTAGCACATGAGAATGAACCCATGAGTACTTTTAGGCGGGTTTCAACCAGGAAATAACATAAAATACACTCTAAATGTACTTAACAATGGATCCTGTAAAGCACTTTGAGGTATCCTCCTGATGTGAAAGGCATTATATAAAAAGCAATTATCATAATAAAGTGAGCCTAGCATCTTCTATATTAATGAGTTAATGCTTGCTAAATACTTAAGAGTTAATTGTAAATCTCAACTCAGTAACAACTCAGATTCAACTCAAGATACCTACTGGAGCATTCTGCTGAGGTGTGAGTATCATGTGTGAAATGAGAATCGATAAAAGAAATGAGTTTGCAATGCTAACAGTTAGTTTGGTCTGTAACTGACTGGCCTGCAGGATTCACAAAACTCATAAAATTGAGTCAAAAGGGACAATTCGATGCAAGATTTCCACTTGCAGACTGGCACTGGTAGTTTGGTGCGTTAGTACGGGACAGCTCTGAGATCGTTCAGGTTCACTCTCAGTTCATTGGCTTCAGTGCATTCAGCTCAGTATTGCTTTTCTTTTGTTTGAATAATAAGAATCTGGAACACCTACATTAGAGGTTAAACATCCCAAAGCTGCGAGTGGCACGTTTTGTAATGCTGTGCTGGGTAACTGGGTTATTTTTCCACCATGTGGTTGAAGGACCTTCCCCTCTCTGCTGCATAGTATAGAGCTTATTAATACATCTCAGAAAGTAAGGTGTGTCAAGTCCACAAACTACATTGCATGGAAACTGTAGCCCCAGTGAAGCCCTCCTTTTCGCCTTGAAGACAATTGTGTCTGAGCTCAGTTAATTGCATCAAAACAGAAAAGACTAAGATAGTGGCCATTTATTCTCACCCATAACCTCATGGCTTCAATTAAACTGCATTGAATCTTCTATAAACCACTTTCCATCAAAGAAGATGGTTTCTATTGAGAATAAAATCCTCTGCAAATAATCTGTTTATCTTTTCAGTTCATCTCTGACCTTCTCTCTTTCTCCCCTCACTCTCCTCTTTCTTTTGCTTCCTCTCTCTTCCCTTTCTCTATTTTCTCTGTCTCTCTCCTGTTGATTTCCCTTCTGTTCCTGTCTTATTTTGTCTCATGAACCAATAAAATATCCACCATGCAACGATTTTCCTATCAATACAGATACTACACTTAATAGCAATTCCCTGTGAGGCACTTTGAGACAAACAAATAAAAGGATTTGATATAAATTATTATTTCTATCAAAACAAGGATGTTTTTTTTTCACTTTTAGAACTAGCAAAGATTGTGGCAAAGAAAGAAATTCCACACCCAAATTCACATAACAGAAATAATCAACAAAATAGTTTGCATTTACTTACAAATTCACCTAGCATCAGGATTTCTGGAAACGTTGTAAACACACGTCCCCCAGAAGGAATAGGACAAGTAACTGAGCTAGTAGCTGGAGTTGACATCTTTGTGTATGCAGCAGAGCTGAGAGCAGGTATCTGGATAATAGGTTCACAGTTGTACTGAGTGACCTTCTGAAAAGCTCCAGAGTAGGTGTAAGGACTGATATACTATAGATCGTTTGAGGGTGTGTCACATACTCTTAACCCCTTCCATTCCCAGCAACTCAAAACTTCTTTTTCAGGCAAAGCTGCACTTAGTGGGTGGAGCGCCAGGTGTGGAGTAGGCCTGGAATTTACTAACGACAGTGAAGTAAATATTTGGTCGTACACTTTGCCTTTACTACTCTAGGGTTACAAAAGAAACCCAACTTTTAAAACCACAGCTGCTGCTATTTAATGCACCGACAAATTCAAAAGACGCTCATGCAGCAAATCTCTTACTGAGAATTCCAGATTTTATGCTCTGTTTCCATTATGCAAACAGCTTTTTAGGATGCTACTCCGCATGAAGGGCGCTTTATAAATGCAAGTTATTTTTTGTTGTTATGAAAGGTGAACTTACAGCACATGGAGGTAAAACTCCATCCATCCATACATCCATACATCCATACATCCATACATACATACATACATCAAACCTTTTTCTGCTGCCTAACCATTCCTGGTAAGAAGTATTGTAAAAGGCATTGAAAAGCTGTAGCTTGTCATTGGAGCGAAAAATGTGATTCAATGATAATGGCCGGTGATAATTGCTTTATGGAACATTTGCTTCATAACTTGCACAATGTTTGGGCCAAATTAAAGTTTTGATCCATCCACTCTTATGGTGGGAGAAAGGAGAAGGGGTGGAGGGGTTTTGGTTCTTGTCATGAAGCAGGGGAGCTGGGGGTGGGGGGAGAACTCCTTGCCCTGTCTTAGGAATTGTTTCAAAGTTTGTAAGAGTAATGCCATTCGAGGCTTCCTCAAGGGGCAAAGTAGGTATAAAGAATGCTCAAGGTCATCCAGACCAGAAGGTCACAGCTTTCAACCTGGTGTGTGCTGAGGGAGCTGATCTCAGCCAGGGTCAACAGTAGCTGTGCTACAATTGGCCTTGGCGCCTGTGGGTTAGGGAAGGGGAAAACAACCAATGTTCAATATCCAGAGGCTGGAGGCTTCTGCAGCTGGTGCCTTTTTGCTTTTGGCTGTCAAAATGTCTCAATGTGTGGAGCGGTGTATTGACTCATACCAGGATCAAGACCTTTAGGTCAATTACTGCCACTAATTGGGCAAATCAGGAGAAGAAATCAAACTCGGGGCCACCGTTATTGTACTCTGTGGGCATTTTAGCCATTCCAAAAACAAGAGAAGGCGATTTATGTCGGGAGGACGTCTCAAAGTGTTTCACAGAGCTGACTGGAGCCTGAGCTAGCAGGGGAGGGGGTGTTGGGGGATGGGGAGCTGAGTAAAGTGGTGGGTGGGGGGGGTAAGATAACCAAAAGTGGTCAAAAAGATAAGTCTTAAAGCGCGCTCTAAAGACGTAGAGGGTGTTAGTCTTTTTGACCCCTTCTTAACTACTGGAAACTGTCATCAAAGTTAAGACTAAACTCAAGAATTTGCCAAATTCTAAACCTTTGAAATCCTAAGAAAATGAGTGAATCTGAATTCAGGGAGACTGTTTCCCCTTTCAACTACTGGGTAAGGGTGATGAGTGGGTCTGACCGATAGGGATCTGTACTAGGTTACACAATGGAATTTGTTGCTGTCCCCTGAGTGTGCCTTTAATGCTGACCCTTTCCATCCCTTCCCTCACAGCAAACTAGAAAAAGATGCAACCAGCAAGAGGGAGGGGAGCAGGCAGATTGGTGCCACTTCTTAGCAGCACAATACACACACATGCTTGGCATTCCAACTGTGAATTTAGTGTATAAGTAGATCTAGACTTCGAGAGACATGGGAAACGTTATCTGGGCGTGGTTGAATTGGGCTTGAGGGGTTTTACTTGTCAGACCTCCACAAGCTCGGACTGTTCCACCTGCTCAGCAGCTTCCAGTTTGGAGGTTCAGACACTTGAACGTCTCTGTGTAATGCTCCTCACTATTACAGAGCCCGGGTGCACAATGGAACAACGGCCCAGCATTCTTCGCTCTTCTTTTTCCTTGCATTTGATATAGCGCTGTATCATGTCGTTGAGACATTTCAAAGCGATTCACAGGATACACTGTAAAGTGGATTGATTGTGAATTTTGTGGGCAAAATGTGTACAGAGCGATGTCCCACAAACAGCGATTGAGTAAGTGATCAATTATATTTGGGGGATCATATCTGGAAAACTCCCTTCTCTTTTCGAATAGTGCCATGGACTCTTTAACAGTCACCTTAACAGTTATAGAGTCTCTATATGTTCAAACAGATACTCTGTGCTTTGTAAAACCTGTAAAGCCTGTTCAGCACTTGCTTGAAGGCAAATTAATATAAACACCACCTTAATCCCTTCAACTCCAGTGACATACACCTTCTTGACATGCCTGATGACCACACCAGCTAATCTGAGTGAAACTGCAATGGACCAGCAACTAGTAGAGATTACAGGAAAACAATTTTATTTTGGGGGAGGGAGTTTAGGTCATCCGGGTGTCTTGACACATGCAGAAACCCATCACCATGCTAAAGAGTATATAAACCAGACTGAGAATTCTGTATATGTGTGCCACCTACACATTGAAATATCTGGAATGGAATGTGGCCCTCACCCCAATACATACCATCGTGAGACCTGTCTGCCTCACCTGAGGGTTGACTTGAATCCAACATTCCATTGCCAAACATGTCATCATGGAGCCAGCTCACCCCCCTTCCCTTCTCCTCCCTTCTTCCCCCCTGATCCCAGCTCGGGTCTGAAATGCTGTACACTGTTCAGCGCCTTGGACGTCCTCCCGACGTGAAAGGCGTAATACAAATGTAATCTTGTTGTTGTTGTTGTAACTTCTTCTTCCCTGGGGTGCTGAGACTAATTACAGCACCCCAGCTGAGATCTGTTAACTTACCACAGGTGAGGTTTCAAACCTGTGACCTTATGTAGTTCACAAGATCATAAGATTGGTTCAGATGAAAAAGTCCCTTCATTCCATTTGATCTCATTCTTCCAGACTACCTACTGTACCAGAAGGAGTCTCTCCCTGTGACTTGGCTAACAATACTCAAATGAAATTGGTCATTGACTCCATTGCTGTTTTGTGGGGCATTGCTGTGTGCAAATTGGCTGCCGCATTCACCTATAAAATACAAAATTCATACCACTTTACAGTATATCATGAAGCACATTGAGACATCTCAATGGCGTGTTAAAGTCCTATATCAAATGCAAAGATTGTTATTATTATCTTCACCAACAGTGGGTTTTTAAGATGAGTCCAGTGTATGCTCAATGTTAGGACGTCCTTTCAACTCATAGGTAACAGTAGTAGTCCAGTGAATAACTGGAAGACGCATGATTTTTCTAAATGTATTTCCTTATGAGGTGGGTAATTACCGACAGTAGCAGGATACCAGAAAGAGTGGTTTAGGGTTTATTATCCCTGGAAAAGCAATCCAACAACTGGGGTCCTACTTACTGCTAGATAAACAGAGGTGTATAGAGTAAGGAAAATGGCCCAATGTTTCGCCCTGCCGGGTATAATAAGAACTTTCAAAAGGGAATTGCAAGAAAAAAATTACAAGAATATAGGGAAAGAGTGGGGGACTGGCACTGATTGGGTAGCTCTTCCAAAGAGCCAGCACATGCACGATGGGCCGAATGGCCTCCTGTGTTGTAATATTTTTTAAAAAATGTGACAAAGGGCCTTCTTCATCTGATCCAATCTTATCATTTTGTGAACAATCGAACAAAATCTCTGGACCAAAATTCTATTCAGTCTTATCCGGAAGAAACATTTTATCGTAAAATTTTATGTCGCACAGAATTGTGGAAGACCCTGCAGTTTTAATTTGGAAGCCAGATTCTTTTTAAGAACAGAAGAAAAAAAGGTTCTGAATTTAACATTTTTTCACCCAGTGTTGAATTTTAAAGACAAAAATAGTCTTACAGGCTTTCCTACATCCTATCGTGAAATACCTTGCAGTCATAAGCACTCCAAGATGCTACCCTCTGGGAAGGGTGCAATATAAATGCAAGGTGTTGTTATTTATCTGTATTGAATTTCATTTGCCAATTATGCGCTAGTGGAATTTCACGCCTTCTATGTCTCTGTGATGCACTTTGAAACATCCTCCCAACATAAACTCCACTATGTAACTGGAAAGTGAATTGTACAGAAGCGCCAGCCCCAGGTGTAATGATGCTGAGGCTATGCTGGACCTTTCCACCACAGACACCCATGCTGCAGACTGACCTGCCCAGGACTGCCAGCACCTTCATGATAACCACTCCTACCCAAAGCACTAAATTTGTTTATCTGATTGCTTTTTTGTTTTTTGTTTATCAGATTGTTTAGCTGGGAGGAAAAAAAGTGTGAGAAGATCAGATGTTAACTAAATAATAAATGTGTTAAAATGAAAGCTACGTTTGACAAAATGTATTCCTGGAGTGAAATGGCAGCAGCAATAGACACTAAGGGAAGGAAGTGTGAGAGTGTTGGTTTCATAAAGCAAAGATAAAATCCATGTAATTCAATTTACAATCTTTTTTATGGTGCCCTTTATGTGCGTAGCATCAGGGAGCAGTTAACAGCGGCTGAGCTAGAAAGCAAGGTGGGGCATAATTCATGGCATGGTGTTTAGAGGAGTGGGGTTTAAGCAGACCAGAAAGATAGGGAGGTGCCAAGTCGTGAAGAGATTTGAAACTGAAAGCAAGGATTTTGAAATCAATCTATTCTTCAAAAAGGAGCTATTGGAGCCTGGCACAACAACAAGAAATTACATTTAATGGTGCCTTTCATGTTGGGAGGATGTCCCAAAGAACTGGGGTACCTTCTGTTTTGGTCACCTTCCTCCCCCTCCCCTGGCTCGGCTCCGGGATCCGTTACTGTGAAGTGCTCTGAGATGCCGTCCGGCGTGGAGGGCACTATATAAATCCAAGTTGTTGTTGTTGTTGTTGTTGTAATAGGGGTGCAGAGTATGATATGGGTGAGGACACAGGCACCAGAGTGTTGAATCATTTGGACCTTCTTT